CGCACCCACGGCTGGCGCCACCCGCGGGGCCCTAACAAGCAACCTGCAAACACAAAAACAGCGGGCGCGTCCCAGTGCCAGAGCACAGGGCGCCTAACCCTCGCCTTTCCAACAACCAGCACTGGGCTGAACAGGGAAGCAACAGCGGACCAGCTCTCCGCAAACCTGGGGTGGGACTGAGGGGGCTGGGCTGGGGGAAGGGACACGGAGAGCCGCACAAAATGCGCTGAGGTCTCCAGCAGCCCCCCGCCCCCCGCTGTCCACAACACCCTGCAAGGGCCACGCGGGGGTGGCCCCAGTCCCCACCCACACCACAGCCGCCTGCCGGGCGCTTCTCCAATCTGATCGCGGGGAGGACCGTACTCCGGCCTCGGGCCTGTGCAGGGCCTCGCTGGACGGGCTGGGTTCCCTTCTGCCCGAAGCCTGAGGGAGGTGGGGGGGAAGGTGCTTGGTGCTCGGTGCAGCTGACCCTCAGCAGCCTGGGCCCCGCCACTGTTCCTGTCTTTGGTCTGTCTAGAACAGTGACTATAAATTAGGGGAAGGAGTCTGCTGGCCCGGGAAGTAACTACAGGGGGAGAGGCCGGGAGAAGGGCGCTGGGAGCCTGCAGACAGACAGACACACAGACAGACACACAGACAGACAGCCTGCTCCTAGTCAGAAGCCCCCACCTGAGCCCCCTGTGCACCCCTCTGCCCTCCCCAGGACCGTGGCCGCGGGTGTGGAGGTGTCGGTCTGGGTTTGGCTGGGCCCTAGCTGGGGGCTCCCAAAGGGACACAGCCCCAAGGCTTTGGGGCCAAGGAGGTCAGAAGGGAGCAGCCCACCCACACCCCGGACCCTGCAGCGATGCCCCGTCCTGGGGTGGGAAGGGCCTGCGGGACGGGGCAGCAGGGTCTACACCCTCAGGCTCCCGTGCAGGTCCGTCTCTGTCCCCGAGGAGCTGCTGTCAGAGTCCATTTCGGCGTTCTCGCTGTGCAGCCGCTCCAGCACTTTCTGGCGGATGAGGCCCAGGCGGATGAGGAGGGACTGGTAGTCGAAGTGGCCCCGCTTCTCCCCGAAAGGGTCCTGGCAGGAAGGAGACAGTGGTGAGGACGCAGGGGCCTGTCCAGTACCAGTGCCCATCTGTGCGGTGGAGGCAGAGGGCACGCGGCCACTGTGCAGAATAGGACACTACGTGGTGTCACCCTGTGAGGGACGCACAGTGCTCACCGAGTGGGCCCGGCTCTTCCTACACCCTCTGCAGACCCGTGCTCGGGTCCACCCTTCACCCCTGTACCCGAGGACAATGCTTCCCCCTGGCCACGCGCAGACCTGAGCCCTGACCTCCCCAGGGCCCCATCCTCTTCCCGGCAGGGCCCCCGCCTCGGTCCTGCCCTTGTCTTCCTATCACAGACTGCTCCTCGGCCCCTCGCCGCACACACCCGAAGCCACCAAGCCGGAAGCTCTGCGCGTCCACGGAATGGGCTGACCGGGCCTCGTCCACAGCCAGCCCGGCTGCTGGGCAAGGGGACGCGTGGCCGGGCTCCGTACGGGGCAGCCCGCCTTCCGCATGTCCCCCGTGCTGCACCCTCCCAAGTCTCCTTCCCTCTGCCGCTCCTCTCCCGAGAACCCTGGGAGGGAGTCCGGGGCCCAGGGGACTCGAAGCACCCCAACACCACCCCACACCGCCATCCCGGCAGCCTGGTGCCAGAGGGCGCCGGGCAGTTACTGTGGCCTCCCCAGGGTCAGATTCCCTGCCAGGGGGGCCTCGCTGGCTCCGGAGCTGCTGGTGCTCAAGTTTCCTTCCTCAGAGGCTTGTGGCCACCCCAGCCCCAGGCTCCCACCGTGCAGGCCCTGGCGGGGCTCAGAGCAGGGCAGATGCCATCTTCACGCTCTCCCCACGGCTTCGGGGCCTGAGAGCCCGAGCCTGGCCCGTCCTGGAAAGGGCAGATGTGCCGGGGAGGCCTAAGGACCTCGGTCAGTCAGCCACCGTGAGACACGGACACGGGAGTCACCCGGGTGAAGAGAGGAGCCCCTGAGGAACGCAGACTAGGACGGACCCGGCCGGCAGAGGCTTCCCTGTGGACGGGACGCTCAGGCCCCTTTCAGCTCGAGCTGCCCATGGGGCCGAAAAACTCCTGACCAGCTCCAGCTGCCAAAGCGGACACCTTGGGCTGCTCTGCACACACTCGCGTACGACAGGACCTAGGCACTGAAGCCACGTGGCCCAGGCAGGACACGGTCCCCTGGTGCTGCTGCTGTTACCTGCATGGTCTGGCCCTGAAGGTGCAGGCGATCCTTGCAGGCCACCTCGTAGAAGTCGTAGTACTCCAGGAAGGATTTCTCCATCACACCTCTGGGAGAGCAGAGCGGTCAGACGGGCTCTGCGCCCTCACCCTGACCCTAGTGCAGGCCGAACCGGCTAGTTCCCGGGTCCACAGGTCTTGAAACTGACAAGCGAAGAGACGCCCTCCACGTCGCTGAGACCAGACGGGAGCGCCTGCAGCAGTCACCGCCTGGATGCCCCCTTCAGCTCCGGGCTGCTCCCGCCCGGTCTGCTCCCCGACCTGCTCTCATCGCCATGGGCATCCGCTCTGCCCACGTTAACAAACAAGGCCGCTGGAAATGGGCTCCCATGACCGCATTCTCTCTCACACCCAAGCCTTCGCAGCCCGGGTCCGCACCCTGGCTCCCGCGGCTGCCTTGGGGGTACCCTACAGTCACCTGCGCCCGGAAAGCATGAAACACATCTTCCTCCTCTGCCTCCCAGCACCCAGCACCGCCTCAAAGCCCCTCAGAGGTGCGGTCCAGCCGCAGGGCCGCCCGACACTCACCGCAGGGGCTCGGGGCAGGGACACTTCCCCTCCATCATGTCACAGACCGCGACCCTAATGGTCTCGTGCCGGATACATTCGTTGTAGTTTTTGCTGTCTCCTGGATGTCTCTCCTGCAATTTGACAAACACCATGGTGTCAAATGCAAAATGGGAGGCAGAGAAAAAAGGCACCCGAAGAGACACGGGTTAGTACAGGGCCGCAAAGAGGATACATCCCCACTGCAGATCCGTGAAGATCCACGGGGCTGCTTCTGTGACCTTCCTGGCCTCCACACACAGCAGCACCCTCTGTCACAGGTCACCCGACCAAGAACCAGTAAGCCAGAGGCGGCCAATTCTCTGGACCACAAGGGAAAGGTCTGCCGGTGAGCAGAGTCTGGCTAGGCAGCCCAGGCTGGCCTCAAACTCAGGGCAATGCTGTTGCCTCGGCAGATGTGCGCCACCACACCCAGGTCAGCTAAGAGTCAAGCGGGAATGATGGTGGGCGGGTCAGGCGGTGCACACCTGTCATCCCAACACCAGGGAGGCTGACGCAGGAGGATCAAGGCCAGCCTGAACTACACAGTGAGACCCTGTCTCAAAAAACAACGGAAAAAAGGGGGGGGCATGGGAGTGGCTCATGGGTGGAGCACTTGGTTCAACCCCCAGGGCCTTAAATACAGACAGTGGGAGGAGAGGAACCAGAGAGGCTGCACCCACCCTCACGCCCACCGGGAGGGGGCAGAGCTTTCAGGGGAGGGATCCCGTGCAGTCAGGTGGGGGCTGCTCCTCCCCTCCCGGCCACTGCAGCTCCCAGAGTGCTCATTAGTGCAGTCCAGGGTACACACTGGGGTTTGCAACTTTGGAAAAGAACAGTAACTTACAAAGGCCTGTGAAATACCACGTGAATTACCAGTGTGAGGGAAGCGAGTTCTGATTTTCAGTACTGAGGATTGAATCCAGGGTCGTGGGCCAGCTCTTTGCATTTTGGTACAGGGTCTAAGTTACAAAGTTGCCCTGGCTGTGCTACAACTTGTGACTTTCCTGCCTCAGCCTCCCGGCGTGCCCACACCAGCTGAAATTGTCTGCCGTCACTGGAGTTTTGTCCTGGGCTCTCGACCTCACAGGACAGTGTGAGCTCCTGCGACAGTGACGAGAGCGACTTCACAGGGCACGCCTGAGACAGGGCTGCAGCTCCCTCAGCGGCGCTGCCCCGGCCGGGACCCGCCAG